CAGTAAATGCAGGTATCTGTGTAAGAGGGTGAATATCATACTGCTTAAACTCTTTTATTCATACCACTTGACACTCGTCAGGCAAAAGCAAATTCCATATTGAATTTGTCAACACAAGCAAATATTTTCCAAGCTAAGATGTTTGCTTCCAAAAACAATTTCTTCAAAAATGTCTCAACTATTTTGGCAGAAACAAATGTAATCAACACATTTTAGCATCTGCTTCCAAGTTTTAAAAAAAAATGTGTGAAAATGCTCCACAAAATATTTTTAACTGCAAAGATGGCACAAACATTTTGAAACTGCTAACTGGTTAAAAACTGCCTACATAAAAGGAAGAGTTAAATGGAGGACAAAAACCATTAAAAAGTTAATCAAGTTCAAATGTTAATGCTCTGAATAGGTGACTATCTAGAGAAAATTCTCACCTATTTCTTATTCAAACAGGGAGAAAAACTAACATAAAAATAACTAACCTTTTTCACAGAGCTAAGATCTTAAACTTTTGCAAGTCCTTCATTTAATTCAAAAAGCGGAGGTATTATAATGCCAATATAGGGATCCAAGTTCTATGCAATTATTTTAAAACTAAATTTTCACCAACTGGTTATAAAATATAAATGACTAGAAATAGTCAAAAAAGTCAATAAATGCATTTTCCTTTTAAGAAAAGAGATAAAATGATTCAGAACAGAATGAGTTAAATAGTCAACTACGGAAAAAAGTGTACTTTGTGTTCAAGATCTGTGGAGCAAAGCTATATGAAGGGAAAAACACATTTATTTTTTATCATAGCCCTTGAATTCTAAGTGAATTCTGTAGTCTAAACTTCATAAAAGACTTGAATAGAGAAAAAATAATGAATAAATATATTTCAGGCAAGTTGATTAATGTATTCCTCTCATATTCTAAGATGGTCCTTAAAACTTTTACAACTTTTTTTATTCTAAAAGTCAATGTAATAAAAATATTCAACTCTTCATTATTCAGAGACTGACAATATAATCTCTACAATATCCACGATTCTATTTCTCCTCTTTCTCTCCTTGGCTTCTTTCCTTTAGGTCATTGCATTATTCATTAGCAATTCACCAAAGGATGGAAAGGAACATAAAAGCAGTTCAATTTTCTTAAGTTAATACAGCCACATGATTTGGTGAAAAGTTAAAATTAATCATGATCATCATCCCAGAAGCCTAATTTTCATAAGACTAAGTTTACAGCCATGGTCCCTGTCATTTGTTATGAACAAATAATGAGATATAATACATACATAAAAGGGCTATGTTTTACTTATCTCAGAGTGACCTAGTTTTGGTTCAACACATAATGCATAATAAATGTTTGACACATGAGTAAAGGAAGACAGGGAAAAAAGGAGAAGTGAAAACACTAAACAAACAAAAAGGCATGCTTATGTACATGGATTCACAGAAATTTAAAACTGGAAGACATGTACATAAGAAAAATAGGGTAAATCACATCAGTTAAGAATTCAGCTTGGTAGACAATTTTGGATCAAATCCAAGCTCTACCACTTACTGGTTAAGTGAGTTGAGCAAGTTACTTAAGCCTCCTAAGCCCCAGTTTCCTCATCTATAAAGATGGAGCTTACAAATACAACCATTTCATAAGCTTGCTCTGAACATCAAATAATATAATCAGGAAGTGCCTAACATACAGTAGGATCAACAAACTGCATAATTCGTAGTAACAGAATCTTGATCAAGTCCAATATGCACCTTTTATGGAAAATGAAACTAAGACCCAGAGAAATGAAGATGACTACCCAAGTCACACAGCTCTATGGTGGCAAAACCTGGCGAGAAGAACTCAGACCTCCTGCCTTCTAGGCCCATAATCTATACTGCTTATCAGAAAACCTATGCTGAGAAGAAAATGAAACATCAAATGCTAAATGAAGGTGATACTGATGTTTGAAATTTAGTGTTTTCAAAAATGCACAAGCATGTGCTTAAAACACATGGAACATTCTCTCATGCCCCACCAGAAAATATTCTGATTAAATTAAGTCTGGGGTAAAGTGTTTTCAATAAGCATTCTAGATGATCCTCCTGCAGGGACCCTGGGCCATACTTTAAGAAACACTGCTGTAGAAGAAGACTTGTAAAAAGGTCCCTATCCACAGTCTTGACCATTAGAATCACCTACAGAGCCCCACCCTGATCTATTACATTAGAATCACTGGGGGTGACATCTAGACATTGATCTTTTTGGAAATCTCCTCAGACAACCCTTACATGTGGTCAGGTTAGAGAACTCACTGGTCCACAGGTGGAGAAAACAACCATCTTTGCTAAGATCAACTTGACAAGAATGGGAAGTACTGTGATTTGTGAAACTAAAGAAAGAAGAATGCTTTGTGGGAAGAGCTCAAGGGCTAAGGTAGGAAACTTTGTCACAAGGTGCAAGGTGAGTCTTAAAACAGGGGATCCCTGGAAAAGGTACAGACACTGAGCTCATTACTGCCTGTCCCCTAACATGATCTCCCCTTTGGCATCTCTGTTTATAATACTCATCCTTCATGAATGACCGTATAAATATAAACCCCTGCTCTGACCTCTCAGCAATTTCTTTTAGAACTTCCCTGACAACTAAATCGAGTAGGATGTTGTGCCATAGTTTACCTCAGCTAATCCCATTTGCTATGTTGCCTTATGGACTTATTTAACCTCTTTGCGTTTCCATTTCTTCATTCTATATAAGAAGAACTGTTTGCCTATTGCATAGAGTTTTGGGGATGATCAAAAGACACAATGTCCCTGAAAGCATTTTTCCAATTCCAAAGCAATATATAAATCAAAGATATTCCCCTTTTTGAGCCTATTTATTCTAATAAAGATGTAACATGCTTATGAGATTTATATTCAGCAGAAGGGGCTGGCTAAGCTGCCTCCACAGAGTCCACCCGAGCCTGAAGGGCCACTCTAAGGCAGCATTAACACTGCAAGGATTTAAAAGATGTGGTAGACTAGTCAACTGTACTGAGAATGACATTTGTCACAGGACCAGGGGAGCTCAAGTCAGGTTAAGATAAGCTCAAAGAACTGTACACTATTCTACTTGGAAGTTAACTCAAAAGACGAGTCCAACCCTCCAAATGATCAAGAGTAGACCAATAGTAAGAACAGATCAAATAGGGAAGATATGAAAAAGAACTTGAAAGAACAGAGAAAAGGAATGTTGGCCAATATGTCATTCTTGGGATGAAATACTAATAAACAGGCCAGGAGCTCTCATTTGCATCTAATTCACCAATGAAAAATTTAGAATACAATGTAAGATAAACAGCTCTGGGGACAATTCTAACCAAAGATAATTAAGCAGAGTCACACACTCCCATGGTAACAGGAAGAATGTCCTAAAAGGAATAGCTAAACTTTTGGTCCTGGCTCTTTGTATGCCACAGAACAAATAGTCTTTATCTGAACTATAAGGATGTGAGATGTCAAACTCCTAAGATAAAAGAAGGACTGTCCCATTCAGCTTTGCCCTAGAAGGTGTCAGGCCTTATCATAACACCTCCACATCATAATTATTTAACAAATCTGGCCAAAAATCATGAGATATACAAATTACAAAGAAGGGTAAAATCCTTGGCATGAGGATAATACAAATTTTAAAAAGTTTATGAATCACTTAGGAAACAGATTTTAAGAATTTCCATTAATGAAAAATGTACAGCTTACTTAAAGCCAAATTATGCAAAAAAACAGCTGGAAAATATGTATGAAAATAAGGCAAGTGCTTATATTCATAAACATGTAGCAGCATGGTAGTTTTCCTTTGCACTGGCCTTTAAGCCAGACCTACATGGGTAATGACATAGACTGGATGCTTTCTTTTTAAAATGTTAACCACTGTAAAATATAAACAGAACTGATGACTTAACATTGGCAAGGTGTGGTGGTGTATGTAAACAGGAAGCCTTCAGGAGAACTCAGCTGCCAAGTTCAATGATCATGATGCACACCAACCTTAGGAAAACCTCATTCTACCACTGTGCAAACAATCTCTCCCTAATCATACAAGGACCTTGCCAAGAATGTTCGACATCGCCAATACCATTTATGTCTAGATTCTTTTGTTAAAAGATAAAGTTAGGAATAGCTTAAAGAAAAAAAACCATCTACACCCAACTAGTAACATGCAGAAGTTATTTGGGTAATGTACTTCTCAGGCAAACAAATAAATACATATCCAATTACACTTCAAAGACAAGTAAAAACCCCAGATAAGTAACTTGGTCTAAAGCTAAACATCCATGTTAGGAATAAAGATCTCAACTTCCTGCCGTCTGTGTCATATTCAAATTCCTATGACACGCTACTCTAATGATTTCTGATTTTAGACTGAGGCCTTGGGAATAACTCACATAACAGAATAGATTTGGGCGATTTCATCTGTGCCCCGACCCACAACACAAACACATACACAAAATTGAGGGCAATTATGTGAATGCTTCTCATACATTAAAAACTGACAAAGAATTAGAATTAGAATCTGGCTTTTCAAACTTACAGAGCAGCAAGTTAGTACTGACTGATATTTTACTGTGTCCTCTCTATGTTTTTTATTAAGCTATTATCTTGTCATGACTATTTTCTAACATTTACCTACAGTACAGCTAAGTTTCTATAGGCTCTTCCATAAGAAAAGTCAAGAAACATGCACTAGAGAAATTCAAGAGATATACACTCTCTTAAATTAGTGCTTTTCTGAGTCTTCCACCAATAACAAAAATGTGCAGGATTTTTTAAATCAAAGCGTGATTAAAGAATATGGATAGCACAATAAATAAAATCATCATAATCAAACCTAAGGCTATAAATAAAATGCAAAAAAAAAAAACTCTACAGCTTTCACGTAAACTAATAGGAAAATAACTTTTATAAAAGACAAATTACAAAACTTCAGTTCTGTGTGAGCACCTGGAATAATTAATTACACCTTAAACTCAGACTGCCCGTTTCACTTACCTCGTTTCCATTTGTGTCCTTGGAAACAGGGGACACACTAGCACCGAGAGAATGGCATCTCCTCTTTTTAAACTGAAACTGGTGAACTGCATGAGGGCAAAATCTCTCAGTGCTTTGCCTTTCTTGAACACTGCTATAACTTTCTGATGACTCTTCAGCAAGCTCACTTTTTTCAAGTGCTCTCTCTGTACCATGGTGAATACAACTTAAGCTGGCTGCCTTTCGAGAAGGAAAAACATCAGTTTTTTCCTGGAATGTTATTTCTCCTGTGTTGACATCGTCTAAATGCTTCTTCCTCCTTGTGCAATATGGAGTGCTGTCTTTTTCTGAAATCCTTGCATCCAGTTCACTAACTTTTACTTCTTTTTCACCGTCTTCAGCAGGAGAAATGTTCACACGGTAAGACCAACTGCTCGCAGCACTCGGCAGAAGTTTGTGTTTAACACTGTCAGCTACAACTTCTGTCTTCTCTTGCTGAATACCATCTTGCAGTGAGAGGTTTGGGGTAACAGATTCCTCCTGTACCAGTCCCCTGGATAAAAGAGCTGGCTGTTCTTTTGAAAGCTGACTGCCTCTCTTCTTCGTGCCTTCCTTTTCATTGTTTGGCTCTACTGACTCTGTGTCACCTCCAATTGTTTTGATCGGTTTTCTTCTGAAATATTTTCTTCGGGGAGAGTATTCTTCGGGGCTCAGAGGAGTTTTGGCAGGATCTAAATACTGTTCTTCTTTCTCAGCTCTTACACATCCACAGACATTCCCCATCTGATTTGCAGGAGGTCACAGCTTGACAAATTCACTCATTTCAAAATCCAGGGCTTACTTAGATCTTTCTCCATTAAGTTTGAAAACTCCACTCTGACCTCTAATTCCTCACAGACTCTGTGACCATCCTCTTCGGTCTGAAGCCATTTTGCTTATGAGAAAGGCACACGCCAGAAATGCTGTGGCATCTTGCCCAGCCGGGTCCCTGTGTCTCATTAGGCACTGTGGCTTATTTCTGGCCACCAATCCTCTTAGACAAACATTACTGTTCACTGTCAAATTACAACACTGATGAGCTTTCAAAGCAAACCCTGAGCTGTACTGTATGAGAAGATGATGACCCTCACTTTAACTTTCAGTTCTCTGAAATGCAGACACACTACCGAAGTTTACACTTAACCTTTGAAACTAGGAGGTTCAACAAATCAGAGCAAACAGAAAGCAAATACCAGTCAGGTGAGACTTAGGAAAGTGCCTTTCAAATTTAGATTCAAGGTGACTTTCAAACTTACTTTCAGAGAGTCTCTACCCTCTACCATATAATTTTTTTTCTTAAGAAACACCAACTAATTTGGGTACTTGCACACAAACAAACAAAAAGCTCAAAAATCTCTGTAAATTACATTAAGACTCTTAAAAGATAACAGTATGATTCAGTAACTAGCCAATGGAGAGATAATAAACATTTGATCCTCAAAATAATCTAATAAAATTGCTTCTAAAATTAACCTTTTAAAATAGTTGGTAATATTTTTTTAATTACATGAATTTCCAAGTCATTGCCATTATCCCATTATTAGGACTTTCACATGAGCAAATAAATTGTGTGTTGAAACACTCAGCCAAAGGAAATACCCAGGCATTCTTATACATGAATTAAGGCAGTTAAACTTTACACATAACTTTTATAATTGTACCCTAGTTAAATATTATGCAGTTTTACTAGGGCCTTATGGAAAAATAATAAGTCAGCATGAAACCTGATTAAGGTGCGCATATTTCTAACACTGAGTCATAGATACGATAAAAAGGAAATTAGTATGGCATTAAATGGACTTACACGTAAGCAGAAATCATTTGACTACTAAAAAAAATTAATAATTGCCTTTCTCCAGGTAGTCTTTATACCGATCAAAAGATGACACTCATCATATTTTGCTAAGTAAGAATATTCAATTAGGCCAGGCGCGGTGGCTCACGCCTGTAATCCTAGCACTCTGGGAGGCCAAGGCGGGCGGGCGGATCGCTTGAGGTCAGGAGTTTGAAACCAGCCTGAGCAAGAGCGAGACCCCCATCTCTACTAAAAAAAAAATAGAAAGAAATTAATTGGCCAACTGAAAATACATAGAAAATATAATAGACTATATACAGAATATATATATATGTGTGTGTGTGTGTGTGTGTGTATATATATATATATAAAATTAGCCGGGCATGGTGGCGCATGTCTGTAGTCCCAACTACTCGGGAGGCTGAGGCAGGAGGATCACCTGAGCCCTAGAGTTTGAGGTTGCTGTGAGCTAGGCTGACACCACGGCACTCTAGCTGGGGCAACAGAGTAAGACTCTGTCTCAAAAAAAAAGAATATTCAACTAAATAGTCAAGTTAGCAAGGATGTTGCAGATGCTTGTCAGCAACAGACCCTTCATTGTAAGGTTTACCTTAATTATTCAAAAAGAAAATTAAATATTCTCCAATGGCAAAAACTGAATATCCTAGAAAACAAGATGGTAAAAATAAGGTCTTCGATTTGTTTTTTCTAAATTGACAAATAATAATTGCACATATTCATGTGATACACAGTAATATTTTGATATATGTGATATACAGTGATCAGATCAGGATAATTAGCACATCCATCATCTCACATATTTATCATTTCTTTGTAATGGGAAATTTGATTTTCAATGTCTTCAAAGGCAACGGAACAGTATTCAAGAGAATTTCAATGTGTCATAGCTGATATTTGTGCTGACACAATGGAGGGGCAACCAGTGATTTGCATTCCACCCTCTTCCCTCTAGCCCTGCCACGCTAAGCAGTTATCCATTTGCAGCACATATATACTGCTCCCTCTCCCAGAAATGGCTCGACTTCAGTCTCTGCCTGGCAGCTGGAGCTCATCTTGCAAAGCCTATCTCTAGTATCTGTAAAAATCTCCCTTATTCTCTAATGCCTTCCCAATCCTACACAAGGCTCCCTCCCCATACATTTCTATTTTTATTTATACCACCAATATTCATCATCCTGGATTACAGTTAATTTCCTGTAAATTCCTCCAATAAACAGAAAACATATTTATTACCTTAGTATCTCTGGATCTAGCATATGGTGGAACTAATGATACAGGATTACTATCATGGTAATGCCTGCTTTCAGAAAGCCTAACTGAAAACAGATTGAATTTATGTTGCTTACAACAAATATTTTTAAATCAAATAAATTGATCTTCTGAACTGCCTTCATTATTTACGTAAAGTATAGGGGGAAAAGCTCAGACACTCTGTGAGAATGATTACCACTGTTATAAATACCCTTATATCTTGGAGTAACCAGAAAATAGTTCTAATATTAAATTATCATAGTACCAAGAAAAGTTATTGCATTTAAATAAGAAGGAACATTTCCATTTTACCAAAACATAGATATGTTCCATTTTAAAGAGATCTCGATCTAATTTTAACTTTGGTGATAATTTAGCAGTCACAGCATCTTGTAATTCAAGCCTGAAAACACAATATAACATTATGCCACGGATCATATTAGAAGAAAAACTTCTTTTGGTACTTCTATAACTAGTTTGTTCTCCTCTCTCCTCCAAAGACAGCTGACCCTAAAGGGTTCTCTTACTATATAATTCTTTTTTGAATAAACTTTTGCCTTAATTTCTGTGAGCTACTACACTCCAGCCTGGGTGACAGAGGAAGAACCTACCTCTTAAAAAAAAAAAATTCCTCAAATATAAGAAATATATTTCTAAATACATTGCTTCTAATTCCTGACTCTTTATACTTGCACAGTTCAGTCTGTTATTTTCTAGCTCGTGCAATTCAGTCTATTTTTTAATCTCTGCTCCCAGTAGCCTGGATCTCCAAGGTCTTCCTTCTAGACAGAATATTAACTTGCACCCTGTCTTAAATTTCTCAAGATCTCTAGTGGCATTTCATGCTGCTCATCATTCCTTTCTACTTGAAATTCTCTTCCCTTGGTTTGATCAACGCTTTCTCCCGCTATGTCATCCATCTCTCCAAAAGTTCCCCTTCTAACTTCTCAACAAAATCTCCTCCTGTACCCATCATCACAGGCCTTACCCAAATTTCTATCCTTAGCTCTTGGCTCTTCTCCATTTATGCTCTGCTGGATCCTCTGAAGATCCCTTCTTTCTGATAGAATCAGTGACCACCTGTATAGTGTTGACTCTCAACTCTATTATCTATACCTCTGACTATCTCCAGCTGCTCAGCAGACAGATGTGCATGATACCCCACTATCACATCAAACCCATCCTGAAGGCCATGAGTTTCCCCCTTACCATCACCCCCATGTCTCCAGGGGGTCTACTGTTCTGTGATCTCCCAGGCTAAAAAGTTTGGTTATCTATAACTAATACATCTTCACCTTCTATGCCTTATCTCTAAGTCCCTCTCTTCCTTCCTTCAAAATGTCAATGCTTGGATTCAATTTTTTCATCCCCAACTGAGTCCTGGCCTTTATCATTCCACTCTGAGATCACCACCTCAGCTTCTTAGCTTATCTCTCTGACTCTGGACTCTGCCCATTTCTACCTATTTTACTAGATTGATAGATTCTGTTTCCTAAAACACAATTTTTTAAGCTCAGAGTGGTAAAGTGACTTAACCAATGCCATCACAGCAATAAGTGAAAGAGCCAAGAATAAAACTTAGTTCTGCCTCACTCCAAAGCCTAGGTGCTTTCCACTGCCCCACAGTGGTCCTTAGTCTGATATTCGAAATTTAGACCCAGACTGCCCCACCAGCCGCATGCTGAAGAAGTGATTGGCTCCCTGCTCTGATAGGCCTCTGACTTTCCCATCGGAAGTTCCTGCAGTTCCAACCCTACTAAAAGCTCTGGGAACCAATCCACTTAGGGGCAATTAAAGGATCCTTGAAAAAGGCACTGAGGAACTCCACAAGCTATGTTTTTTGGCCAGTTCTACTTAAACTTTAGCCAATTCTGATAACAAGGACTGGCTGTGTGCTCCATGCACAAATCCTTGCCTTGGTTTAGTGCTCAGTATCCTTGATCCCCTAAGGATGGACTTCTCCAGTAATGGGGACCCTCAGTCCTTTTGGGGTCTTAACTTCCAGTTACTGGCTCTCTCTGATATCAACAGCCCAGCTGAGTGGACATTCACTTATATTACTTGCCCTGTGATCTGGCTAGCTAACACCTTTCCTCTGCTTACCTGGGTCTCCTCTACTTTCCTACTACTGAAACTGTTTAGCTGCCTCTTCAGGCCCTAGAACCTACCTAGACTCTACTATCAGGCATCCTCAAACTACGGCCCACGGGCCACATGCGGGCTGCCTAGCACATTTATCTGGCCCTCCAGGTACTTTTGCCACCGCTGCCTGTCCTGCTTAGCAGCCGACTTGTCCCAGGCCCACAGTGCACACTCTCCAACGGTCTGAGGGACAGTGAACTGGCCCCCTGTTTAAAAAGTTTGTGGACCCCTGCTCTACTTCCTATATAGCTCCCTGTACTATCAGATCTATCCTGGTCCCAAATGGGCCCCAGGTACATTATTTTCCACTGTTCCCCTACAAAACTTATATTTCAGCCAAATTTAAAACAAAGTCTTACTCCTCACAAGATATGGTTCAAAACCCCAGCTCCTTTCTGAGGCTGGCAAGCTTTCTCCTGCTTCAAGGGCCGGGTGCACAACAATCAGTCAGTAGGAGGTACTGCATGCCTATTGAGGTCAGGATCTGTGCTGCACAGTGAGTTTCTTAAGCAGACCAGCAGTTAATAAACTAAAGCAAGTTCCAAAGTTAGGAGTCACCTTAAATCAAATGCAGATGATTTTTTTTAAATGTATGATTTCACAAAAACTAAATCAAAATCAGTCCTCCATCGACACAGGTCTATTAGATAATAATTTATAGACAATAAATTTGTATTCTCCTCCAATCTAGAGAAAGCACAGCTCTACACAAAACATGGATACTTTTCCTCTAATTCAGATCTCTTTATGATAATTATACTGCCATCTAGTGTCTATTGAAGGAGAAAACAGTTGACACGGTTGAGAAACTATCAAAAACCATTCTAAATAAAGATTGAGTCATAAAAATCTTTGCATATCTATAACAGGTAATACTGTCCAATGAGCAAAAGAAATGTGTCTGCATTCAATAAAATGAGATCTCTGTCTTCCAACTCTGAGATTACAAACACTGTCCTTAAAACTCATTTAAATTTGGCAAGAACAGGAAAGGGGGGATTCATAAGCAGCATGTTACTTGAAAGAACAATTCAAATATATTATTTAAGAAAAGAAGTCTGAAATTTTTCCCCATAGGACACAAATGCATAACTTACCCTTCATATGAACCAGCTGAAAACTAGCAATGAGAGGCCAAAACAAGTGATAATTAAGAAATACTGGGCTTACCTGAAAGTGCAAAATTATTGTCCATATTAATCCCAACGTCAATTTGGGATTTCCATCTGTTATGTCATCATTTCTAATGTTCACTAATTTTACCTGTTTTATATGGGAAGAAGAGATAAAACAAACTGTTTATCAAATCAGCATACAAGTTATCTTAACCCACATAAAAGCAATTCTAAATTAAACAAAGAAAAAACGGAATGATTTAAATATCAGTAATCCCCCAAATACTGTTTCACCCTTATCTTCAGTCACTTAAAATTATGAATTACAGGATAGCCACAAAGGAAAAACAGGTATTACTGTAGTTTTGTCTTCCAGAGTAAGTACTAAAAGCATTCACTTGTCAAAACAAAAACAACTCAAATGAGAAATCCTAAATACTTAACATCTTATTACAAAATTAGAAATAATTTTGTCTTTTAAAAATAAGCTTTAGTTTACTCCTACATGAAGTAGGAAACTGTCTGAACCATAAAATAATTTTAAAGATTTTTTCACACATCCATCACAAAGTTTTTTTAACAAAAACTAG